GACGCATTCATTAATTTTTTTCAGTCACCAAACCAAATATATTTTGAGTAAAGATTTATGATGCTCTTTATAGCCTTAAAACATCTGCAACATTTCAAAACATTCGGGTTAGCAAATTCAAAATTAAATTGCAAAATGTTGTTTTATAATTTTGATTTTTTTTCCAAAAATCTGGACGTTTCGGGTAAAAACTCAATTCGGAGTCGTAAACTACATGTGTAGGACTATGTTATTTTGTACAATTTAAAACCCATTTACTATGTACAATTTTGAAGTGACGTCATCTCATTAGTGGTAGGGATGATTAGACAAATTTTGGTCCGCATTTTACCATCTACATGATATTCCTAATATAAATACAAAATTTCACATCAATCGGTCTAGTACTTTACGGGAATGACGGAAATGGGAGACCTATTTCTTCGTTTTCTAGAGGTCATGAAAGATCGAGAAAACGTAAAAGTAGAGAGTCGGCCGACGGACTCGATTACAATACTTCCTTTGCTTACGCTCGGGAAGTAAAAAAATCGTAAAATCGAAAAATTGAAAACTCGTTTATACAGCCTGTTATTGAAAGGTACGTACAAAATAAAATCGGCAATTGGTCTCGAAGTATGGGTGCTAAAAGTTAAAAAAAGTTCAGGTAAAAGTGTTCACCTTTTAGAGATAAAAATTATTAAAATGTATGTCCAAATTCGTTGTACGCCTCTGATAAAAAGATCATCTTTCGTTTCTGTAGCAACATTTAGTCTTGACAAAAGTTGTATTGTTACGGTTGCTAGGATTTACTAAAATAAATTAATTTTACCTATTTATCCTTCAGCAGCGTCTAAAAAGATTGGATAAGGGTTAATTTTCCCCTTAAAATTTTGATAAGACAAAATAAGTTTTTCCGACTTCTTAGACTTCGCGAAGAACTGTCCATTTTGTTGTACGTACCTTTCAATAACACCCTGTATAAAATTTAAACAATTGATAAACTGAAAATCAAAAAACTAGAAATAGAGAAATCGAAAACTTTAAAAATCGAGAAACTAAAAATCGAGAAATTGAAAAATCCCAAAACTGGAATGTCGACAAATGGAGGAATTAAAAAAACTAAAAGTCGAAAATTTTAAAATTCGAACAATTGAAATACGTAAATACACACTAAAAAGTTTAAAATCAGGAATTCGAAACATCAAAAAATGGGAAAACTAAAAATCAAAGAACTAGAAATCGAGAAATCGAAAAATCTACAATTAAAAAAAATCGAAAAATCGAAGAATCTAACACTAAAAAATCAGAAAATTGAAAAATCCAAAACTAAAATGTCAAAAAATCGAAAAACCTAGAAATCGAGAAATCGAAATTGAAAAATTGAAACATCTAGAATTCGAAACATCAAAAGATTGAGAAATCGAGAAGAAAATCGAAAAATTAAAAAATCGATACGTCGAAATCTCGATAAAGCTGAAAACGGAAAACCGACAAATTGAAAAACCGAAAAATCTAAAAGCGAGAAGTCGAAAAATCGAAAAATCAAGGAATAGAAATATGTAAAATTTAAAAAACAAAAAATTATAACGTCGAAAAATTGAAAAATCGAGAAATCATAACATCAAAAAATCGAGAAATCAAAACATGAAAAAATCAAAATATTGAAAAATCCCAAAATTGAAAAATCCTAAAACTTGAGAAATCGAAAAATTGAAAAATCGAGAAATCAAAAATTCGAAAACTGGACAATTTGAAGAATCGACAAACTGAAAAATCCTCAAAGTAGAATGTCGCAAAATTGAAAAACCGAAAAATCTAAAAGTGAGAAGTTGAAAAATCGAAAGTTAGAAATATCGAATTATCAAAAAGTGAAAAATCTTACATTTAAAAATTCGAAAAATTGAAAATTGAAAACTGAAGTATGTACTAAAAAACCGAAAAATCGAGAAATCGAAACATCTAAAATAAAAAAAAAACGAAAAGTTAAAATTTCGAAAAGTTGAAGAATCGAAAAATTGAATCGAGAAATAAAAAAATTGAAAAATCGAAATATTGAAAAATCCCAAACATCGACAACTTGAGAAATCAAAAAACTGAGAAATCGAGAAGTCGATAAGTCGAAAGTCTAAAAATCAAAGAATCGATTTATAAAGAAATTGGGAAAAGGAAAAATTTAAAATTTCGGAACGCCAAAAATTTATTCACCAATTTTTTGAGAAAACAAATAATAAATTTTGCTTAACGATTTACCACGAATACGATAACCTTAAAATATTTATAACATTTCAAAGCAATCTGTTTTGCAGTTTCAAAGTTATGTATATTGCAAAATATTGTTATTCAGTTTTGAATTTTTTCCAAAACTTCGGGATGTCTAAGGCGAAAATTCGACACGGATTCACACACCACAAGCACAGGAGTATCTTATTTTATCAAATTTAAAAAACCCTTTATTATAAATTTTCGAGATGACGTCATCCCATTCGTGGTGGGAATGATTAGCCAAATTTTAGTTAGCGTTTAACCATCTACATGATATTCCTATTATACATACAAAATATGACAACAATCGGTCCAGTAGTTTGGGACATTACTGGTCTAATAACAATAGATACAGAGAGACAGACAGTCCGACAAACATACAGATAGACAGGTAGACAGACAGACAGACAGAGAGACGAAAACGGGAGACCACTTTTTTCGGACTCTAGAGGTCATGACACTTTGAAAAAATATGAAAGTGGTCATTCGTCCGATGGACTCGATTATTATACTTTCCGTTCAAAATGCAATGGACACTTTTCAACATTTGTAACATAAATAACTATTATTTTTAACACACTATCGTATTTTCTAGAGGCATATCTGACCATGAACGTAAGCTAAGGAACTATAGTAATCGGACGAACAGCCACTTTTATATTTTCTCGACGTTTCATGACCCCTAGAATACGAAAAAAGTAGTCTCTTGTTTCTATCTGTCTGTCTATCTCTACGTCTGTCTGTCTGGGATCTGTGTCGACTTTTATTAGAGACGTAATTTCCAAACTACTGGCCTGATTGTTGTCAAATTTTGTATGTATATTAGAAATCTCATGGAGATGGTAAATGCTAACTAAAATTTGGTTAAAAATCCCCATCAACAATTTGATGATGTCATATTCTCCTATACATGTGATGTACAAATCCGCTTTAACTTTTTCCCTAAACGGCCAAATGTTCACAAAAATTGAACACTGTAATAATATTTTACCAGTAACTCAGGATATAACCATCTGTGGCCATGCCTTTAAGATGTCCGGATGTGTGATTTTTTCTTTTTTTCACTCACGCTGTGTATTATCTATATTTATGACATCATAACAAATTTTTTATTGATCAAATTAAGAACGAGTCATCATGTTCTAATAAGTAATATTCAGAACATTCCGTTCGATTGTCACTTAATTAATAATAATAAAATTGTAGTCCTTTGTTGTGTGGCGACAAACTCATTCAAATCAAACAAATTTCTACGTGACATTCTTCCGATGTATAAATATACACATGAAGTTAAAGCTTGTTATTATTTCTGAGAGGCCATTTTTCCCCCTGCTTTAAATATATTGGGGCTGCGGGATGTTATTTATGCCGCTGGTTTTTACTTTATAGAGATTACCACACAACAAATATCGCAAAATCTAATTTTATAATTTTTAAAAGAAACGGGATTTGTTGGATTTGTACTTAAGAAGCGAGGGAAGTCCTGTCGAAATAAACTTCGACCAATTTTTATATGGTTTAAATTTGAATTCTATATAAGGCAACATTTAACTTTTAAGAATAAATCAGAGAATTCAAGTTCCTCGTCGTAGCTTGTCACCCTTCCCCGCTAATTTCACTCTATAGACAGGTATATCAAACACACCACATTTCTATGCCCCAAAAACCTGCCGAATATTATACTCTCTACCCGATCTTCGCAAAAAAAAAACAGTTATTTCCAAATTGCGCCTTTCACGCGGACACGGGTCTCCCTCGAAGCTTTAATTAAAAATCCATTTGGACAAATCACAAAAACCGCAAACTTTAACTAGAAAATGTGTTCCGCTTTCGCCACGCAGCCTTTCTCGAATTTGTAACGATAACTGAATTGAATATTACATTTCCAAGGAATGGAGCCAACAACACTTAATTACGTCACAAAACAACAAAGAATTCACAGACATTAATGCAACTTATGAAGAACCAATTTGATGATTTTTTTCAGTTGAACACCTCTTATATTTATATGTAATATTACTAAAAACATCCCTTCGCTCCATTCTCCATAAAATTGAACAGAAAAAAATGAAAGATAAATTCTGTGTTAAACAGTTTAAGCCGATTTAGACACTGGAAATTTTACATATATGTATTTTTAGAAATTTAGATGAGACAGTTGCACCTTGAACTCTATGATACGTCTCTTTATTGTTTGCCCAATATATTTTTGATTATAACCTTTACAGTTCATTTCATAAATTCACGGCTTTTCTTTTGACCTGACTTTATCCCTTGGGTTACCAATAAGCGTTTGAAGGCTGGAGCTGCAAGGGTAAACCAAATTTCAGGTCTCCAACCATTTGTGAAAGGACAATCCAAGCACAAAATCTTTAAATGGACATTCGCATAACCGCTGAATGTGTTTTATTAATATTATTTTTGATTTTTTTTAACAAAATTTTGTAAAATATGACATCGTTGTAATTATTTAGTACCCTAAAATGATATAAAAATTAAAATGCTTGATTCAGCGTTTGATACATAAAAACGAACATCAAAACATGTTGAAATCCCCGCCGAAAAATTAACTCAATGCGAACCTATAACTTTTCAATCGGAAAAATTAAAGCGACAAAAAATAAAACAACAATCAATTGCCAAAACAACTTCTAAAAGACCAGCCACTCCGCGTTCTGGTCTATCGATTCTTAATAAAGTCTTCGGAAACTTCTAATTCCTGTTGATTTCTTTGTTTCATCAATCATTCTCAATTACAGACTGAAGGGTTTCTTGAGTTTGGACGTGGACGTGTCACACCTGGAAGTGAACCAGTGCGAACCCACCACCACACCCTCCCAGACTAATTCCAACGAAATATCAATCTTCCACGGCACACACAAATGTCACAACACCACATCTCAGGTGGCATTCGATGGCTCAATTTATTGCCCATTTCATTAACCCCCTTTCAATTTCAGTGCTTCTATCGACCGCAAACTATGTCCTCTAATTGGTCCAGGGGGAAGTATCAGTGCGTGTGCAGGCCAGGGTATTACTCTCCGCGCTATGGAGGGGTGTTCAACGGGACTTTGGTTGAAGGTAATTGTTTACAAAGTATTATTTAGTCTACGTACATATGCGTGAAAAATTAAGGTTTTCAAAATATTTTGTGATGGCAGACGTGGTATTCTTCAAAAACTGTATAGTTTGAACAATTTTCAGTGATATGAAAACATATTCCTTATAACATATTCTGTAAAGAAGTGTAAACAGTAAATAAAGAAAGAAACAACAAAATAATCAGAATTTTAACATACATTGATTTATAACTACATAAAAAATTAAAATGTAAATCACCAGTGAAGAAAGGAAATTAAGGTGAGGCGAACCAATTTCTTTCTTTGCTTATAATTAATGCGGTAAACTTTCAAAATATATTGATAAAAACTCACTAGCATATTATCTTGTAGTATCTGTTATTATTTTTTTAATGTATTTATATTTTAGATTTTACGCAAGATATAGCTGTCATACCCGGCTAATATAGTACAAGTATAACTTTAATCTTATCTTTGATTGTCAAAAATACTGAATATAAATTATGGGGCGCCATTCCTGTTTATGGCTGTTACGTACATTTACATCATGAGACAAAAATTGATAAAAGAATATAAAAAAAATTATAAAAACTTTCTCCACAAATGTAAACAAAATTACGAAAGTTGTGATCACAAAAATCAATGAAAAACAAAAGCATCGAACTAAAACTTATACAAAATGTTCATAGAAATGATCTCGCTTTAGGTTTGTATATTTTTACCTTCAACGCAGTTCATTTTATCCCGGAAAATTGTGACATCTATTTACACAGCCCGTAATAAGCCAAGAAAATTGCAAAAAAAAAGCAATGAATTCATCATTGTCCGGAAGAGTGATGCTTTGTTCATAAAACATCCTATAATTCACCGTAAGATAAAATAACGATGCAAGGAAACTCATATTTCACAGTTTTAATGCTTGTCTTTTGGTATTCTTGCATTTAAAGGTGTCATTTGTCTTGCTTATGCTCTCACAATACATTACACGAAACGAAATAAAGCGTAGTATATTCTAACAGCACAACGAAATAAATGGGTCAGAACCCTCATATTACCGTATATAAAACTATAATGAGAGTATTGGCAAACAATAACCATTCAACTTTGATAATAATCTTATATTAACGATTTCCTCGCCCAGTCCACAAAAAAACACCCTTATCAGATCATATCTGTACGTGTAGTTATTTTTTGAAATTTCGTTAGTAATTCTTGTCGTGTAATGAATTAAGTTAAATAACATGAAATAATTGGTCACTTTGTAATAGCTTACAGTATAATTTAATAAACACATTCATATTATACATCGGAAAAAGCAATAGACAACTTAAGATTATAGAAATGAATTCTGCTATGTTAGAGTTGGCTCATGCGACAACTGGTTATTATCTACTTAAATAATATAATAGCTATAATACGCTAACGTTATAAGTAAATAATATATGATAAAGTTTTTATTGCACCAAAAGGATTAAAATCGTAAGAAAGAAGACACTGTTTATCCACTTTTATAATCAAAATTGTAGTACCTATTTTATCAATCACGTACACTTGTATTTCAATGGCTAATACCTATAAACCGTAAAACTAAAATATAAGTGTGGACAATAATAAATTAATACTTTAACGTTTATTGCGTGTAAAAAACCCATGTAATAGAAAAATACAGGGTGATTTTGAAATGTGTGCAATAAAAAAAATGGGGAATAGCTCACACTAACATTTATTGCACTGTGCAAAATTCACATTCCTAAGTGGTAGCAATGTCCAGGAAAAATTATTTGAAATTACCATAATACTATTCACTGAATGGCACAGAACGACTAGGATTAAGAACCAAAAAGGCGGCGCACTGATAAGCAACGTACAAAAACACGAGAAGAGCCAGTCATGTATCAGTTGGTTACTGTCATCTGTTCGGTTAACGTCTTTGACCATAGTGAATTTGTCCAATTCAAAGCATGTCGACATAACTAATAATGCTTTATGGTGTGACTGATGGAAACACTAGGTAATTCCAAGCCTCAAACTCACGATCGTGGCCGTGATAGAACCGAAATAATACTACAAGCTGAAGAACAAATTTTGGCACACTCGCAATGCTGTTTTCAAAAGTGACAACGCTCATATTTGGTTCGATGAAGATCCACACGCTCGTTAAAAAGTACGACTTGAACGACAGTTTTCCATAAATGTGTGGACAGGTATCATAAATGATTAATTGAACCTTAAGTTTTACTGAACAGACACAGTACCTCGAGTTTTTAAACAAAGTGTGGGAAGAGCAGCTAGATATGGAAGTGCCTCTGTGTGAACGAGTTCGCATGTGGTACTTGCATGATGGAGAACCACTACATTTTGGTAGGTTGATTGGTTAAATAACCATTTTCCTAACCAGTGGGTCGGTAGAAACGACTTAGTAGCTTGACCTCCGCGTTCATCCCATCTCAGTCCGTGTGATTTTTGTCTGAGGGGTTGGATGAAATAATTAGTTTATGAAAATCAACAGTGTCCAGAAACTATTGAAGAGCTTCAACGAGTGAAAGTAGCAGCCGCTACAGTTCGTGGAACTCCCGGAGTAATCTTTCGCATTGACCTTTAACGATGAATGAATAAAGTCGGTTTTGCTTTTAATTGAAACTGAAAGTGCTTACATCGTTTTTATTCAAACGTTTTTCCACCTACTGTTTAAAGGGTGAATCAGTGGCATCGCATCGAGGATTGTTCATGGGAATTTTGCCCCATTCTATTTTTAATTTGTTTTTTCTATATTTCCACAATACTCTGTGGTTACAATAATTGCATATATTTCGAAATCACCCCATATAGACCGCAAGAGAAGAAAGTGCATGTATTATGGAAACTTTATGCAACATTTTAACCACATATTTTATTCTTTACTCCTCTGTATTGCAAATGGGTGGTCATGAAAAATCTTGAAGTAACGCACTGCTTTAGATTACGTCATGACTAAATTCATTTATACCTGTTGATACGCATCTACGTGGCGCTAGAATGTGGTTTAAGTAATAGACATCCTATATACCAGTGACGTTTCGTTCGCGGGCTCAATTAGTCAATGACCCCCCTAAGAAAACAAAAAATATAAACTGAATAGTGAATAAAATATTTGTTTGTCAAAATAACATTCGTCAATAGTGTTTTCATACTTATATATTATATCATGACATGAACATTTCAACAGCAAAACAACCACTCATTAGCGCTTCATTGGGTCAATTATAAATACTGACCTCGCGAAAAGTATTATACGTAGAGATTTCTTTTAAGTGAGAGTGAAATAAACTTATAACAAAATTTGATTAAAGCAGACGGAATCACATACAGGGTGTTATGGAAAGGCACAAAATAAAATCGATGATTGGTCTCGAGGTGTGGGTGCTAAAATCTGGGTCCAAATTCGTTGTGCGCCTCTGATAACAAAGTTATTTTTCGGTTCTTTAGCAACATTTAGCCTTGACAAAAGTGTTTTTATTGTTTACAAGTAGTTTACGGTAGAGCATTTGAAAATACTTATGAGGCGCAATGTCTTTACGGATATCCAGATAATGTGATATCACCAATTTGGGACACCTACCCACAATGCTCAAGAAGTGAGGCAATAGTTCAACCAAGATTTTCCAAGACAATAGATAGGAAAAATGGACCAGTGTTATGGCCACTTCGCTCTCCGGACCTTAATTCATGCGATTTTTTCTGGTGGAGATAGTTCGTGTTGTATTGTATATATTTTTCAATTAATCTTCACTAGTTCCTATACTTTTCTACTTTTCATTTATTCTGTATTGCTCTTAAAATAAAAAAAAAACTTGTTTATTTCTGCCAAAATAAGTTTTACAATTCATTAAACAAAGCAAAAAAAAGACAGTTCTTCAATACTTCACTATGTAGTATGTATATCCAAATCAAAAGGAACATTATGTTTTAACTAAACATGTAGATTCTGAGTTGATACAAAATTTTTTTTCGATATCTGGATACACATACTGTTATTTGGATTCCAATGGGTTTCCCAAAAGAAGATTCCATTTTCTTTCAGGCCTAAACGGACGCTTGTGGACAATAAGAATTATGTCGAAGTACTTTTAACAGTAAGACATGTATTTTAAATGATGATTTCCGCAACACAGTCATTGACTAAAATTGTTTGACAAAAAACAGACAATTGCAACGGACCATGCATGAATTCGGAAATAGTATAAATTTTCGTTAAAAAGGGAAGATTTTAATATGGTCCATTTGACGAATGGTTAATTTATTGTTTTCTTGATATTTCATGACTCCTAAAATATGAAAAAATAGGTCCCCGTTTCCGTCTGTCTGTTATCTATTGGTAATTTTATCAAAGAGATAATTTTCGAAACTACTGTTCCGAATTTTGTGGAAATTTTTAAATTTAGTTTAGGAATATCGTGCAGAAGATAAATATGTAACCAAAATTTGTCTCATTGTTCCCACCAACAATATGATCACGTTCCTTCAAAGTGTTTCATAGTAATACATAACTGAAATGTTGTAAAATCACATCCTCTTGTACTTGTAGTTTATGAATCCGCCTTAATCTACAAATTAGTTTAAATATGGTTTTGCATTTTGTTATTAGTATTATACTGTTCCTATCCAAATTAATTTATTTGTGCCTACTAAAAAGTTGATGACGTCATCACAAAATTCCATTAAGTAAATTTCACTTGAAATAAACGCAGAACATGCTCCTTTCCCTATAGTTTCATAATACAACCCTAATTTTTATAGTACAAACTTATAGGGATTATCCTAACAAAAACTAAAACTTAGCAGTATCAAATTTCATAATTTATCTAAGAAACTATTTAAAAAATAACTTTAGACCAACTTTTTTACAGAATTTGAAAGAGTAAGAGTAAAAAAATATAAATAATACAAGCCGTGGTAAAACAACACAGTAAAGATGGGATTTGAAAACACACGAGGAGGAGCACAAATCCGAGGACCAAACAATAATCCCACTCGACTAGTCAAATATAATGTAGGTACATGAACCATGTGGATAACATTGCACAAGAAATACATAAAGTAATTGTGATAAAAATCAAGGCGGATTCATAAACCACGAATATACTTAGTATTATTTATAAGTTGTTCCAAGTTTGAAACATAATTTTCTACTTGCTAGAGTAATTTGAATATTGACAAAGAAAAAATGAAACTAAAAATGTTTCCAAAAATCCTAAACTTCTGAAATGTTACTGTAATTTACTATTTGAATATTTTTCATAATTTCGATATTATAATTACACATTCTTTAGTTGAATAATAACAATACAAAGAGTCAGTTTTTCGTAGATGAACAAAATATTTAATTCGAATTGAAATCCAGTGTGTGAATAACACGTGACTATGAGAATTTGAGTAATTGAAGTTGATCATGTGATCGGTTAACTACGTGATTAAGTTAATGATGTTATTGTAAACCGAATCTTAATCAATAAAATAAAGAAATAAATTAATATAGGCGGTATATGAAATATAAATAATTTTCGAATAGGTGCTTATATGATACAGAAAATTCATTAGTCACTGTCATCCTGCTTCAGCTTGAATTAAAAAAACTCCAAATTGACTAAACTTTTTTAATGAAAACTAAAAAAAAAACAAGAAAGATTTTTCATTATTCAACAAAATTGGTGAAAAAAACCATTGCTTGTAGATAGCCATAATTTCTACATTTTTCTCATTTTTCTGTAAAATCATGCTAATTATACGTTTTTACAGTATCTTGGCAGGACGAAGAAGAAAATAACACGGATTCCTGGAGCACCGTATTCCAGTGCATGCAATGCGCCCCTGGATGTCATTTCTGCACAGACCTCTCACCGTGTTTAGCAACATATCATTGGCCCTTCAGAATTACCTTGTTAGTATTCAGTGTCAGTTGTGCCCTTTGCACCATGATTATAAATATCTACATGTTTAAACATCGGAAACTAAAAGTTTTCAAAGTGGCTAGTCCCATTTTTCTCAGTATTACTCTATTTGGTTGTGCTACTATGTATATGGAGATGGCGGCCATCTTCCCTGTATTAGACAGGTACTCTTGTATTGCTACTAAATGGTCACGCCATCTTGGATTCTGCGTTACTTATACAGCATTACTCATGAAGACGTGGAGGTAAAGAAAAGTACCGCGATGTTCTTGCTTCAAACTTATATTTTATTTACAGAGTATCTCTAACTTATCGTGTGAAGTCTGCTCATAAAGTTAAATTGACGGATAAGCAATTGTTGCAGTGGATGGTACCAATTCTTCTGGTTATGTTGATATACTTAGGAACTTGGACTCTTTCTGATACCCCAACCGCCGAAGAAATAGTTGATAATGAAGATCTGAGGTTTAAGCAGTGTGTTTACAACTGGTGGGACCACAGTTTAGCTATTGGTAGTTATTTTTCTCAAACTTTCGTGAGAGAGACTATTTTGTACCCTTTTAGGTGAAGTTCTCTTCCTGGCTTGGGGCATCCGCGTGTGTTACAACGTGCGAAACGCCGAATCCCTCTTCAATGAAGCAAGGCTCATCAGTTATGCTATCTACAACATCGCCATTGTCAACATCATGATGATCGCTTTCCAGTAACCATTTCTTTTTCGTTTATAGTTGTTTATTAATTTTTCTAACTTGTAGCTTGTTCATCTTCCCTCGCGCCGGTCCTGACATCAAGTACTTGCTCGGCTTCATCAGAACCCAACTGTCCACCAGCGTAACAGTAGCCTTGGTATTTGGGCCCAAAATCATCCGAGTACTGCGTGGGCAAGGCGACCAATGGGATAATCGCGCTCGATCCAGGGGTGTGACAGCGTCATTCTCTCTAAACGGAATCGGTTTGGTACCAGAAGAAGCACCAGATCTCTATCAAGAAAACGAAGAACTGAAAGAAGAAATTCAGAAGTTGGCTGCTCAAATAGAATTTATGAAGATCGTTCACATGGAAATCAACAACCGACACGTCAAGCCGAAAAGTGGGGGGTACTTCACCACTCTTAACGCTCCAACAGTGGTTCATAGCCCTTTGTCTAGGCAAGGATGCTTGCTAAGCAACAAGCAACCGGAGGAGCTGTGACGTTTAAGAAGTTGCGGCGAATGGATTAAGTTGGATTTGTTCGACAGTAAAGAAACAAGAAAGCCTGTTTTTGTATAAACAAACACGTTTTGGAAGAAGGTCTTCCATTTTTATTTTGCCTTTTCCGGTGCTCAATTACCTTGGGAACGCATTTGTCAAAATTTTTTCTTCAAACATTCAAAAACGCTAAATGATGACTGATTTTTATAATAGAAACTAGAGATGCTTCTCTTGTGTGATACCGTAGGGAAAGAAGTTAGATGCTGAAGTATAGTTTGTAGAGAGAAAAGTATTTAAATTTATTACAGCAACAAGAAAATGTTTGATGTGAATTAATGTTGCTCTATGTCAAGAATTTAAATCAATGTTGAACAACTCTGTAACGTGAATTTTTTTATTGATTTTTAGATGTGTAGAAGATTGTTTAAACCAAATATATAAACAAGAAAACTGGAAATATGTGTGATAGCTAATGTAGTCGGTGAACGACAATACAATATATCAATTACTCAATTTAAAAGATAACACTAGTACTTGACAAACTTAAAAAAAAAAATCAAAATTAAATTCCAACTATTCCAATTTAAATATTTGTCATAGGTAATGTCGTGTCATATAGCGATCATAGAATACTACTTAATCGTTGTAACTTGATGTTTAACTCTATTATTGATGTCTATTGATGTTGAAAATGTCTGTGGTACAAAAACAACACAAAAATGAGCCCTCACTAGGGAAATTTATAATGAACTTTATAAATTTCTTATCAAGTTTTTGTACTGCAGATATTCATCCTATAATCCGTAGCACAACTTCAAAATAATTAAATTGGAACTATTGGCAAATTTTACAGAGTTAAGTACTGGTGTTGTGTCATTACGTCAGTTGTTGATTTACTCTCAAATGTACTATATATTTGTATTAAAAAAAATAAATGTGTTTATAAAACGCCGCAAATGTTTCAATTTCCCTCCTAAATACATCCTAGTTGCACTACCGGCACTTCTCGCAAGATGTCGCTGTATACGTTATTTACGAAACGCGTAAACATTAAACACCATGACAGTCTGACTCATTTTCGAAATTGTTTTATAAATTAACATTAAAGTGCCTTTAAATAATCATGACAACGATTAAGCAAACTACGATCAAAGCCATAATCTGCCTTATATTCGCCACAAATATTTTCACAGGTGGGTCACTACATTGTTTGAAATTTAGGTTAAAATACAGTCATCCAAGTGACCATTGATTACTAACGACAACAACACAGCAATAACCTTACTACTGGTCGACTAGTTCATGGGCGTGTCGTTAACTTTTTAATTTTCAGTTAATGCTGTCCGTTGTTATCAATGCAGTTCAAACCGAGACCCAAAAGGAGAAGACAGCTGTGGCGCTTACAAAAAATTTGATAAAACCCACCATATAGCTGTCGAATGTAACACTGAAGACAGTCATATGCCAGGTTCATTTTGTATGAAACTGACACAACAAAGTCCTAGGGGATTTATTTGTATGTTTTTTCTTTTTTAATATATAAAATAGTGCTTCAAGTAACGTCATTGTTTTAGGGGATGGTCGCTGGAGACAAGTAATCAGAAGGTGTGCCTCTGTTGCAGATACTGGAGTTACGGGTGTCTGCAATTGGGGTGTTTATGAAAATGGGGTTTATTGGGAAGAATGTTACTGTTCAGCAGATGAATGTAATGGTAGTACTAGATTAAAAACCTCACTAGTATTATTATCGGCGGTATTTGTTATTTTTAGTTTTAGAATTGTTTAATTTTTAGTCAATTGTACGTTTACTGAGAATCTCTTTAATCCGTCCAATGTACAATTTGTTTTCTATATATTTTTTTTATCATTCCATCCAAGATGTTAATTACTTAGTTATATTTTTTAAAAACTTATGTAATAAAATAAAACTGAACGAAGTTTTACTAGTCTATATACACATATATGTACCAGTAAAATTTATTAAAACAATATAAAAATATTTCCAAAATCTTAAATTATATATATGGGACGGACTATAAGTAATATCATTAAGTCAGTATTTACCTTAATTGTAAAAAAAGTAGTCATTCATAGCAATTCCAGGGGTACTTAATAACTAGTTACTATGGACCAGTGTCTATAAATGTTATTTTTTGTCCTAAGATAAAAAGTCCGTTTAAAATTTGTCATTAAAAAAATTCATAACCATCTACAAACACTTTCCATCAGTATAAAACTCAACATAATTGTACTGCAAAAAGAAATTCTAACAATATATGTACAAAACTCAGATCTTAAAATTGACAATGAACACAAATGAAATGGAAGTCCTATCACATAATTTTCAACATAAGAATTGTCATAACTGTTGCAACAGCAACAAATGGCGAAACTTTTACATTATTGCCACTATTGCAACCATCCTTTGTGTTGCAGGTACAATATTCCATAAAAATATTGTAGGTACCAGTTCTTAGCAAACAAAATCTTTCATCTCCTTGTATGCCTGGTTCACCAAGATATGCACAACTGCGTATGTATTTCCACACACCATGAACTGAAAAATAACGTATACATTATCATTTATACTTATATTATTATTCCATTTCTTACATTTCTGTCGAATTTTTCTACACATTGTGGCTTTCACATCAGGCATGAAATCCAGTCGTTGTTGTTTGCAATCCGTAATTGCAAATGTTGTGTTATCAAAAGGGTCCGAACATTTCGGGTCGGCGTCCGATCGACAGTCCCAGCATTTAATAGCCCAACCTAAACATAACATAACCTCAAAATAACTTTCATAACGAAAATGTAAAATAGAATGACGAAAAAGTTTACACGCCGGTACAATTTGCTTTGTTATTAAATATACTCTCGATGTATGGGTGTGTGGCAAAATTATTTTACGAATTCCAAGAAAGGGCGAGGCTGTAAACAAATTAATTAAGACAAAAACTTACCGTTTTGTATGATAACTGCTAAAGTTAAGGCAAATATAAGGCACGAAATTTCTTTTGAGAACCCCATTCTTGACGGGTAACCAAAATCAAAAGAAATGCAAATTTTAATTTTGTTGTGGTGTGTTTACGGTTATTGCTGTCTTCTGTCACTACACAGTCTTATTTAACATAGGAAACGTCATTCGCTTATACTTATACAATTTAAAAGGTTGCGCGCCATCTTTGTACATACGCGACAAACGAGGTGTTGATGTTATTTTAGAAATTGGGAAAATATACTAGTATACAAAATAATGGTCGAAAATTCCTATGGATGCAATTACCTATTAAACTGTAATTTAAATTTAATATCAAAATGTGACTTCCAGTTATAACAATTTGAAAGTGGGATATCCTTCTTAAAATTCTATAAGTAATACATTTGTGCTCAAAATTTGAGAACTGTTCTGTTATAAAATAAACATAAACTTCTTATTGTCGTAACTGAGGACAATAAGCTTTTGTCAGTTAGGTGATTTCTTTTGGAGTTTAGTGTTAAAATATGTTCACTATTACTGGAAATAGTTAGGTTTTGCATTACTCTATTGCAATCATTTTATTAATTTCATTAGAAGCTACCTAATGCACTTTCTTTTTCATAGTGTGACATTTATAATTTTTAATGACAGGCACTATTTTAGAATTTTGCAGTTGTTTAAAATGAATGCGATTTACCCATAAACATCACTGACAAAAATACTGCATAGTTAGAGACGATAAGGACTTGATAAAAGGTCAGACTAAATTTGGATTATTGTTAAACCTGATGATAAATTTTAATGATGCAAAACTGCAAAATTTGTGTATAATGAATTATAATGCTACAGTTAATGACTTTCTGTATAGATTTGATTTATTTAATTGTTAAATACCTATTTGCCTATTTGAAGCTAATGTCATCACTCATCAACTTTTTAAAAGGCAAATTACTAAGCTTTGGTAGAGTATTAATGTCTAGCTCTACAATTTTGTGAATTTTGCAACCTGTCCTGATGACTGGTCATTATACTCTCCGTTTTCATAAATGTTAATCAAGTTAAGCTTTCATGGTGTGCCCATACATCTAATACCATTGTTAGATAGTGTAGGTAATTCTTTTTCAAAATGTAGTAACAGAAATTCCAAAACAAGCGTGATGAGGAATATTTTATAATCACTTTATATAATTAATCATGACGGGACTATGGAAATATGTTTCATTTCTTTGATTAAACCATACACATCAAAATTCAAACTTTTTAAATTAAATTTGAAGTAAGACCAGAGACAATAATTGACCCTTTCTTTGTTTGTTTTTAGATTCGTGAATGATGGGTTGCCTAGAGAGTGGAGCAAAGGGGCGAAAACTGCGAAGGACGATTCCATGGTGGCAAAAAGTTGATTTTTATTTCCCTAAATCATTTGAATTGTGGCTTCCCATTTTGGTTTTAACATATTCGATTGATTGACATTGACAATGAAAAATACGTACCTATATTACCATAGCCTAATATGAAAACTTTTTCATCACCTGTTAACAGTTAATAATGAAATTAGATGCGTTGTTCTGGATAACGTTTAGATGGATAAATAGTTTTGCACTACACATTGATTTTTATAAATTCTGTTTAAGCAATTATAAATAATTAAAAGTAAATTTCTAAGCAATAAGAATATGGTATGGCATTGTAGCAGAATTTATGAGATGACCTCATCACTTATTCTGGGGGTATTCATAAGTATACCTACGTATTTAAATTTTAATTAATGTTCCGTAGTCACATGATTTTTTTGTATTTGGTAACTTGTAAAAACAACTGTTATCATTCTGAGATCGATCCCTAGTGAAGGTGGAGTACTATGTTTAAATTCAGGTGACAAATAGCTACCAACATAAAAATCGTACTGCGTTCCAGTGGAGTTAGCGCAATATAAAATTCTGTCATATATGTATATGATACAGTTATGTAGGCTTACCTTTTTTTATATTCTTTACACACAACTTTGTTCCAATAGTTGCTACAGGTTGTGTTAAAAAAATCGTGTTTTTTAGAATATATTAATGAGATTAACAACATAATTTGCATAAGTTACGATACAAAAAACACACCCCGATTTCTCAAATTTCTTCATTTTTCAGTGGATAAGTGTTCACCAATGTTTTCAAATTGTTCCATAAATGAAAAAATTGGTCTAAAGTAATTTAGACAAGACTTCCTTCGCATGTGGAGACAAATATTTAAACAAATTCAATGTGCTAGAACAAAAAATATCGACAAAAAGGATGGGATCGAACTAACGCGAGCAGAGCTCAAATACTATAATAAAATAAGAAATTCACCCGTCCCTGCAGTCGTTATGTACGTAACACAATATCAGTTATGCACACAAAATTTTTTGTAAAGTAATTGTGATAAAAATCAAGGCAAACTTATAAACCACAACTATAGGAGTATGTTATAAAGTTTATAGGTATATGTACATGAATTACTACGAAAAAAAGTTTACGTCATTTATTTGTTGTTCAAGATGGGTATAATAGTAAGATAATATTTTATTGGTTAAATCAAGAACGACTCATCCCATTTTATCGTAATTTTGGGAATACATTATTCTTATTATTAGTATTGCAGTATGTTTACTCACATTGATTTATATGTGTCTTTACAAAAATGTTGATGATATCATCACAAAGTTTTGCGATGCATGTAGCACTTTTTTATATTTACTTTATCACTGGATATAACTTCTAAGGGGTCTTATAAAAAAAAGTAAAATTCGCAAAATTAAATTTTATATGTTTTCAAAAAGCTGTGTTATGTGTTAAAAAAGATGTTCTATTGTGGCTCAGGGGCGAGAGAATAACAATGAGAGAGGGAAAAAAATATCTTTTATTATTATATCTTACTTATCTTATTTATGAAATAAGAATTTTAATTAAAGATAGAAAAATATGTCAAAATTTGGACCCCAGAGCAGGTATTGATGTGGAAATAAAAATAGGATAAATCAAGAATCGAAAAATTCTGGAAATTTTAATTCCAAAACGAGTTTATCCTGACACAATATAGCAGGTTGACGTTTAAATAAAAAAAGAAAAACGTGTGTTTAAGAAGCACCAGATGAAATGAAATAAAAAAAATCGATAATACTTAGTTCATTAGTGTGAAAAAAATTCTTATTCGGTATTCAGTTATTAATTTTTGTATACATGATAAGAAATTGATCACATAGAACAACGAAATTTTAAAAACCTTATATCTACATGTCATTCTAAAAATATGGGTTAATTGTTGACATCACGCACCAAAGGTCTCTTGTACATACCCTACCGGTAATTCGAACATAGTTTAATGAAATGTTTAAAATAGAATTAAATACTAAATTAAGCGGTTTATAAACCATTAATCATAATATAATTTAAATATTCTTGGAAGAAAAAATAAAAAAACCTATTTTTTTTCTGCATGAAAAATCGAAAGGAAAAAATCGTTTCAACATACGCACATTAGGAAAAGAGTGCATACAAAATAAAATAAAATACTTGCAAAACATGTAACAAAAAGACATCAAAAAATTTGTGATAAAATAAAAATAAGACAAAATTACCGATCAAAATAGCTTTCATAAAAGATAAAAAAATGTTTAAGAAAACAAGACCTAATTTAAAATTAATGCAAAATTCTAACCTTTAGGCTTCTTCTTCTGCTAAAATTTAGCGAATCCCCTCATCTTCATTTTCGAACCCACTGCAACAAAAAACATATAATTTTTGTGCACACAAAGAAAAAGATTCTACGACAACTGGTCGCAAACAACTGAACGCGCGACAATTGATCGCAAACAACTCGTCGCAGCACAATTGATCGCACGCAACAATTGATCGCGGCGACAATTGATCGCAGCAACAATTGATCGCACGTAAATTGATCGCACTTAAATTTATCGCAGTCTCAATTGATCGCAAGGTAAAATTCATCGGGAAGTATTTTCTTTTATTAAACTAAATATTTTGTATTCTGAATTTTAAGTTGCAATAAATTTGGCAATCAGGTCAGGTGTAAATATCGAATTAGAAACAGTTTAAATAGACATAAGTGACGAAGTTTGTAGTTACACTTTAAAAATTAAAAAATATGAGCGTAAACACCTTGTTACATAAGATTTTTTATTAATAAATTGTCATTTTGGTTATTTTTTTTAAGAGATTGTTACTATTTATGTCGTTGCTTATTTTACCTATTATATTATAGGAACTAGCTTCATTATAATAAGTATTCAACATAAAAAAAGTGTTTATTGTTCTTAACTAGATTTATTATACAATTATTTAAAAAATCATATTTTTAACAACCTTTAAATTTTAACACATTTTGATACAGCATTGTCTCTATTGTCTATTCTTGTCTTTATACATATCACCAAACAATAAAATTTACGAACTAATAGTACATCTAGCTAGAGAAAGGGTCTCGAGTATCCATATGCAGCGAATGTAAATTCCAATGGACGGATATAGTACTTGTTTTAATCCCTTGTAAATTGCAACGGATCTTTTACAGGGTTTGAGAAAGGTTTACGTGTATTGTAAATATATATTGCAAAAACTTTTGTTAGAGGGTCAAGAATAATTTTGTGTTACCGGGAAATCTAAGAAATGTAGGTACTTATGCAACTAAAAACTTACTTTATAATTATTATTATGTGAATAGTATTGTCCTGAAGAAAAATTCAGTTGTACCATTGTATGTGGGTGTAAAAAATACATATACAGGGTTAGTCACGAGAAAATTACTTCTGAAAATTATTTTTACGCAACCCAAAATACGAATACCGTGTACCACTTGATACTAACTGAATTTAAAACGAACTGCTTAATCCATGATTGCTTTGAGTTTGGCAATGTCATTTTGACAATTCTGGAAAAGGAGGTTACGCGAGTGTCCATGGTGGTACCCCAGCCAGTTGGAGATCTCCGCTGGCGCCGCTAATAAGTTTGTCAGGGCTTGCGAGTGCCTCTTGATCTTTTGCAACCGATTAATCCCGAGAAAATTATTTCTAAAAATTCCTTTTACGATCGATATTTCTGTGACGTGTAAAACAGCTCTTAGATCTAAAAAAAAAGGAATAAATAATTGGTTCGCAGTTTTCCATGAAT